CCCGTGCGGAGCGGGGAGGCGGGCCGGCCGGGCCGGGGGAGCCGCGGGCAGGAGGAGCTTCCCGGTGATGTCAAGCGCTCAGGCGGCGGTGGCGGCTGTGCTTGGCGCTGAGGAGCAGCAGCGCCCCCTGCTGGGAGCCGGGCGGGGATCCCGGGCTGTGTCCGCGGTCGCGACGGCGGTGGTCGGGGGACGCGGGCTGCCACAGTCCCAGCGCCGGCCTGAGGCGGGTCACCCCGAGCCGGCCCCCTCCCCACACGGCCCTCCGCTAGGCAGTACCTAAGCCGGCCTCAGCCCCGCATTTTGCCTTCTTTCCTACCCACATGGGTTCGCCTGCAGACTCTCCCTGTGCCTGCCCTGTGCGCCCGAAAGCTTGCAAACAACAATTGTCCAACTATTTAGTTGGTCTCGGAAAAGATATCGGGGTATAAGTTGTAGCTGTGTTGGTCTAAGGAGGACACAGGCTGCCAGTCCAACCCTTGGTCTGAGGCAGGGTCACACCTATACAACCCCCAGGGCCAGACACAGGCATGGGCAAACCAGGTGGTCGCCTGGGGCCTGGACAGAAAGGGGGCTTGAAAGCAGTAATATTTTTCCCGTAGTCTAATTATTATTATCATCTCTGGCAAAGGGGGCCCCAATACTAAAAGTTTGCCTGGGGCCACCAGTAGTCTAGGTATGGTGCTGACAACCCCCTGCCCCACACAACTCTCAGCTAAACTCTGCCTAAGACTGCCTCAGTCCTGCATTTTGGCTTTTTTTCTACCCATAAGAGCACACATTTCAGCAGCACTCAGTTCTCCCTATGCCTGAAGGGCATTTGTGCCCCAAAGCTTGCAAAGAACAATATTCCCAACTATTTAGTTGCTCTAATAAAAGATACCAGGGGTATAGGTTGTAGGCACGTTGGTCTACCAATCCAACCACCTGCCTGAGGCAGGATCATCCTTATCCAACCCCACACAGCCCTCAGCTAAACTGTACCTAAGACTGCCTCAGGCCTGACAGGCAAACAATGTTCTTTGGGTAGATGTGATATCTTTTGTTAAACCAACTGATCCCCATTGCCACACATTTGCATTTTCACAGACCTGCATGTTGGCTTCTGTTCTACCTATGAGACCACACAGTTCACCAGCAGACTCTCCCTATGCCTCAAGAAGGGTGTTTGTGCCCAAAAGCTTGCAAGCAACAATTTGTCGGGTAGAAACACCCTTCGTCAGGCTGAGGAAGCGTCTGCAATTGGTCTGTGCTCGTCCTAGATGGAATAGAAAAGAAGCCAGAGGCCAGTGTGCCTAATAAAAGATATAACATCTGCCCAAATAACCTTATTTGCCCATGTCAGGGCTGAGGCAGTCCTGAGAGTTGTGTGAGGCGGCGGGGGAGGGGG